ACCTAATACGGACCAAATTCAAGGCCTTCTTTAAAACCATGGAACAAAACTTTGGAACAAAATCAGCAGAAGGATGCTCAACACCTGTGATTTAATAATAAATATTTAAAAGCATAACAAGAGTTGTATAAAAGTTAGTAGAAAATGCACTGCATTAACAGATAGTAAAAGAATATTCGAATTAATAGATGCACTAGGCTTTCAGAGTAACTGGAAGTTATGCCCTAATAACTTCCAGTTACTCTGAAAGCCTAGTGCATCTATTAATTCGAATATTCTTTTACCTAGTGTTATACAGTCGACCCCCCTATAAGATCATTGATTTTTCCGTTTTATCTGAATTACATGTTGTACAAGTCACTTAGATTTTACAAATACGTGTGCCGGACTATGAATGGCTCACATATTTGTAAAATCTAAGTGACTCGTACAACATGTAATTCAGATAAAACGGAAAAATCAATGATCTTATAGGGGGGTCGACTGTATATGTTACACTGAATCCAAGAATGTTGTTTTGTGAAATAGGCAAAAACTGGCATGTCAACTGCCAATTTCACAAATTTGACAATATTCCTGCCAAATTCATGAAATAGCCAATTGTGCCATTATACAAACATTGTAGCAAATTTTATAAACTTACACATTTTTGAGAGCTTTCATTTTATTTCATTTTCATTTACTGTTGTTATACAGTTTCTAATTTTAAAGTTTTTGCTGTAAATTTGTACTTTTTTCTACTACATCTGTATATGCTTAAGTCCTAATGTAGTAACAATCCACGAAAACCTTTTTTTACAAGTGTTATGTCCGTAGTAAATTCCACAAGTACAAATACAAGTCCACATTTATTTATTTACATCGTTGGCAACATCGTTACGATGGTCGGGACGAAACACAGCCAGTCACCACCTGAAGCAGACCTCGGTGGAGGTCGAAAGTACTTGTGGAATTTACTACGGACATAACACTTGTAAAAAAAGGTTTACGTGGATTGTTATTATTCAACGCAGTGTTAGGTTGTTGGAAGTCGTTTATCCTAATGTAGTATGTAACATCTACATAATGCCTTACTAATGTAAAGTTTAATACACTTTTTATCTACAAACAGATTATTATTATTCTGGACTTATCAAACATTCATTAATGAGGATGAATGAATGAAGAGAAACAGCTTTATTTTCCAGTATGCATTTTGAGTTTCCTTCACTCTTCTTCAGCTAGCATTTACATAAAAATATACAGAAACCAGTCATCTGTACTGAATACCATCATTGGTTGATGGTATTTGGTACAGATGACTGACTTCAGTACATTTTTATTACAACACAAATGATTTTTGCCTTCTTGAGTGGGCTGCCTCAGTTATTGAATGAAAAACTAAAAGACAAAGAAGTCTTTTAGTTTTTCATTCCAAATTATAACATTAATGTAAAGAATTCCAAATTATAGCATTAATGTAAAGTTAACATTTAACTCTAAAAAATGTCCAATTCAGTACCAAATCTTAAGCCAAAAGAGTAGAATATTTAATTAATATAAGAAAACTATACCACTATAACTGTTTATCAGATTATATAATAATCAATTAACTTATTACAAAAATTATTAACATAAAATTAAAATACAATAATCATTGATTAAAAACAGTTTATATTATAATTCTATTTTCTGTCAACTTGCTCATGAAACTGAAACTAATGATGATGTTATTACCTTTTGTATTTATATGATTAAATTTTTTAAACTTGAGAATGTATAAATCCATTTTATATAAATAAACACCATTAGGAAATATAAAATATCATTAAATAATGTTCAAGTAAGAAGACAATACTAAAATAAATCATTGCCTAACATTTTCTAAGTCATAATTAAATGAGAACCAAATGTTGGTATCTTACTAGAAAATATAAAATGCTGATTTTGTGAAATAGGCATATTTTGTGAATTTGATAGAAAACTTGGCTAATTCATGAAATCAGCAGTTCAAGTACAGATTTCACAAATTATGCAAATTTTTACCTATTTCACAAAATGAGCACCATTCCTGGATTTGGCACAACACACACATATGCACTATATACTTACAGTATATGTATATATATAGATACATACATACATACATATACACAAACATCTACATATATAACACACAAAAAAACATAATTTCATATTATTAAATGATCAAGACTTAATCTGCATAACATTTATAACTAATGATGCTGTGTGAGGGTTGAGAAAACTGAAAACTCTAGTTTGCTAATGACAAGATCACTAGATGACCCTGACAATGGGCTCCCATAATTGCATTTTTGTTCTGCTTGGAGATTTACTCCTAGCTCAACTGAAGTATTTGCTGATCACATAATACTAATGGAAGATGCTTGCAAATGCATTTGTAAGCTTATATTCCTCTACTATCTAATTGAGCCTTGCTTCTGTGTCCTTAAGAGACATTCTGCTATCCCATATTCCAAACACATACCAATATCTCTCTGACATCACAGGATTATGGAGAAAAGATAAGTGGTTTATTAAACCACTCATCCATTTTCTCCTTCAACAGTGAGATCTACAAGTAAAACAAAAGTGTACCCATGAAAAGTCTGATGTCAGGATCACTTTGTGAACTCATTATTAGGAAACTAGAGCTCACAGTTCTCCCAACCGTCACACAGACCATTGTTTATTTTTTGTTATTATTAAAAGCTTTATGCAGAAAATTAATAATGTACATCTTTATATGCATTCATGTTTACTCATGAATGCATATAAAGATGTAATTATTTCAAACATCTGACATTAATATTTTTAATTCAGCTTTTTACAATATCAACCAAACTCCAGCAATTAAACAGTTGCATGAACGTTTTCATCTACCTTCCAGTAGACATCTTTCAGGTGAAATATTACAATTCGACGATAAAATTCTTAATTTCAAATTGCACACACACCACTTAGTAGGTGTGGTGTCTGTCAATTGGTGGATGCATGTGATGTCATAGAATTTGCATCAGATGGAACGTCATCAGATAGGTATCGATGAACACAGAATTTCCAAGCTGGTGGGAATGACACCACATCCTTGTGGTTGATGGTGCATTTCTTTATTGAAGCCTTGTAGATCTCATATTTCTCCAAATGTTGTAAGAGGATCCTGTCATTCGTAGAATGAAGGATCCTGGATAGATGAAAGAAAATCTCCACACCAGGTTCTGAAGCATAAGAAGCGAGGGCAGTTGTAAAATAGCCTTTTTACACTAGGAGGGCATCAAAAAAGACTGTTTTACAACTGCTCTCGCTTCTTATGCTTCAGAACCTGGTTTGGAGATTTTCTTTCATCTATCCATGATCCTTCATTCTACGAATGACAGGATCCTCTTACAACATTTGGAGTAATATGAGATCTACAAGGCTTCTGTAAAGAAATGCATCATCAACCACAAGGAAGTGGCATCATTCCCACTAGCTTGGAAATTCTATGTTCATCGACACCTATCTGATGACATTCTGTCTGACATAAATTCTATGATGTCACATGCATCCATCAATAGACAGGCACCACACCTACTAAGTGGTGTGTGCAATTTGAAATGAAGGATTTCATCATAGAATCGTAATATTCTACCTGAAAGATGTCTACTGGAAGATAGATGAAAATGTTCATGTAACAGTTTAATTGCTGGAATTTGGTTGACATTGTGAGTAGTTTTTTGTTTGTTTGTATATTTAGTATTGTGTTGTTGTCAATTCAGCTTTTAAATGAATTTGTGACAATCTCAGAATCACATTTCTTTAGTCAAAAAAGAACAAAGGACAGGAAAGGCAATCACTAATTAATTAGTATAAAATCATATGGGTCAGAGAAAGATATTGAAATGGCATTTGATATCATTATACAAAGGGCAATGTGAGTGGATTACAGTAAGAGCAAACTATTTGAAATTGTGGCAAGACAGGACAACAAACATTTTTGTTTTTTTTTTAGACTTTTTGGATGCTTCTGAGTTACTGAAGAAGAAGAAGAAATAAAAATATGTTTTCATATAATACTGACTGGTAAATCAGAGACTACTAGATTATCCAGATAAGAACTTTTGGATTTTTTTCTTGAGCTCAAGTACATTCAAATTCACTCCTGAAGAAAATTTACAACATAGCAGGGTCATATTTGTGAATAACAAAAGTCAAGGGTAGATCATGGTGAAGCAATGAAAGCTGACTAGCCAACAAATAAATTTTCCTTTATTAGTGTATTTTATCTTTCTCCCTTCTCTCATCTTATTTATTATTTTGGTTTAATGTGCTTAAGTACTGTTCTTGCATTACAAACCATCATTGCATGTGCCTCAAAAGTGCTTGATACCAAAAAATTTATCATATTTTGTAAAATAAATTTGTTGCAGAATGATAATATATTTATATCAAATTACTGTTAATTTATCTTGTGCACATAATGAACACTATAAATCTATTTACCAAAATATTTTTCAAACAACATGGTACTGTTACTTAAATCAAAAGCCAATAAATTAAGTAAGATTTGTTATATGGAAGATTTATTGGTGATTCAAGAATAATTGATTTAACATGTTTCTCACATTCAATTATTAATTACCAATATTCAAGATATAATGATACATTGATTTCATGTGTGACATTTCAACAAGAAGTTTTTTAAATATTATTTTGCATTAATTTGAACTTATCAAATTATTAGAATCTATTTCTACTACATCATTCTAATAAGCTTCAATTTATAGGAATAAGCATTTTTAAATGTACATTCCAATTTAAAATATTTAATTTTATTTTTAAGTAACACTGAAAATAAAAATTAAATATTTTGTTAGAAATGTATCCATTAAAACATTGAACATATATAGATTTTGTTTTTATTTTGTATTTATAAAATATATAAAGAAAATCATCATAGTTATCTTAAAATTTCTAATAAAACAAAACATTATAAAAAAATCATTACAAATTATACTTGCCTGCACTTTAGATGTCTTTTTAACTGCTAACTCATTTGATTTTTTAATAGGAATTTTCCTTTTAGTTTTCAGAACAGAATCAGAAGTCTTATGATTTAATTTTGCCTAGGAAAAAAATTATAAATCAATAAATAGTCATAGCATATATCATGATTAAATCACGATAATGTATATAATTTTGCATTTTTTGTTTGATTGTCATGTCTGATATAGTTTAATTATACCAGACATGACAATCAAACAAAAAATGACAAATTACTGACTTTTTATGTTGTTGTTGTTATTATTATTATTATTACTATTATTATTATTATGCAATTGCAATAACTGAAATTTTGACATGAAATTATTTGTTTAAATAAAAATAATTTAAAATAAAAGTTTTAAAAAACACATAGTATTCTGCAATTTTTGTGTATTTATCTATATTTAAAATTTACAGTCTTTTACAAATTTTTCACATTTTATGCTTATTTTGACAAAAATATTATTGAAAAGTATAATAATTATCTTGCTATATATTATACTATTTTTCACCGTGATTGTTTGGCATAACTCATTAATTTTAATAAGATACCTCTGTTAATACTAGTAAATAGAATATCCAGAAAATTTCTGTTTAAATAATGATAGTAATAATAATAATTCAGATAATCAATTATAAAGTTTAAAAACAATGCATAGAAAGTCTTTTCCAAAACTTCAATTATATCAATATTTTTAATAAATATAACCAAATTAAAAGGTAAACTTATAAATTTTATTACTACTGAAATTAAAAATGAAAATTTCTAAATTAGTCTTATTGACTATTAATTTTCTAATAATATTTTATCAAATAATTTGAAACATGAGTTAAGTATTTTTAAGAAAAATTATTAATTGGTGATAGAATGACTGAATATTCGTATAATTCAAAAACAGAAGGTTGACTATGCCTCTGGCAGAGAAACTGGTTACCAGAGGTGCAGAATATGACCAATTGCATGAACAAAGTTCAGGAAAAATTAAAACAATCCTGGAGAAATTTGTAGAATAAAAAAAAGTATTATGATAATAGCTACAAAAATGTTACAATAAAATGAAGCAATGCCTTGGCTAAGCCTTTAGACATCAATTAGAAAAATTCACCAAAATGCAGGGAAACCACGTTTTAAAAGTGAAATTGGAATGTTTACAGTTTCCAATCAGTTCAGTCACTTGTTATATTACTGTCTATTTACATAGTTATGCACTTACAAGGAGAATAAGATGGCTTCATTTACTGAACTATGGTTTTAATTTTCATAAAAATCAAAACAAAACTAAACAGAGCTTTGAAAAGAACTGAAAAGTAAATCTGTTTTTATTTCAAAAGTATTTTCAACACTATTTAATGGGTGATATTTCATGTTGACTTGAATTAAACAAAATATTCACTCATTTCCCCCACAAGAAAAATTTGTAAATTAGTAAACTGCATTTAAAAAATATTGGTTGCTTACTGTTCTATTTACTATATGTATTTTCTTAGCATAAGGTTGCCAATGAGAACAAATCACACAGGAACACTTTTAGTGGAAAAAGGTCGGTTTATTGATAGGTGAAAAAAACCAAACATTCAGTGAGTGATACAGGGAATACTCGCATCTTTTTAACCTCTCCTATCTGGTCTATGTTTTTTGTACATTTCATCAGAATTATTTCACAGCCTATAACACGTTGTTATACTATTATAATGTGTATAAGGGCCCCCATCTCACCTATGTCTTCTCATGAGTTGTGTTGTTCTAACTGTCACTATAATCTCAGGACTGAAGAGGATATTAAGTCCAAAATGCACATCCTTTCCTATCAATAAACCGACCTTTTCCCACTAAAAGTGTTCCTGTGTGATTTGTTCTCAATGGCAACCTTATGCTAAGAAAATTCATGCATTTAAAAACTTTTTCTGAGCTGTGTTGATTAAATAGCTAAATAAAAATTATTAACATTTTATGTTTTAAAACATATTACAAACATTTATAAGTGTATTAATAGTAATAATAGTAATTGTTAATACATATATAGTCAACACACCATAAAGCAAACATAGATAAAATGAATTCTCACATTAAAATGAATTTTGCCATTACCCTGGCAAAACATCATTATCAAGATATTAATTTTCATATGATAAAGCAAACAAAATTTTAACCAAAATTTGTTAAACTGAATTGTAAATTACCTTCACAACCCCCAAGAAATAAGCCTATTTCCAATAATGATTTTATTATTCATGTCAAAAAGTATAAAAAGCAAAGTGGTACTGTAATAAGTGCTATTTTAAGTATAATAGATTTTATTCTCCTAGTAAGCATAGATGGGTTTGGCCTTCAATCACAGAGCAATTCAAGCATCTGGTTTTAGCGGATGATTCTACTGTACTCAGAAAATAGGCGTTAAAGTTTAAGGATGTCCATCCTTTTAACTGGATGTGGTCCCAAGTAAACACATGCTAGTTTGCATATCAGGGGCGAATACAGTGATGGCAGGTTTACCTACTTTGTTTCAAATTTGGCTCATTATTTTATTCCTTTCATGCCAAAAAATATTTTCTACCATTTTTCAAACAATCTTCAAAAGAAAAAAAAATTTCTTTTAGCTTTGTTTTGTTTAACCACTCTGATATACTACTCCACACTTAAATAATGAATACCATCTCCTCTGTTTTATTAGATTTGAAAATAATTTTTGTAAATAAATTTTATTTTATTTAACTTTACTTAGTAAACTAATTCAAAATATAATTTAGAAATTTCAATTGTCTATTAATCCCTAACTCCATAAATTATTATCTTGATCCTGAAAATTGTTAATATGTACTGTACTTTCAATAAAGTGAACTAACTCTGTTCCCCTAGCAATTTGAATTTATGCAAGTTGACTGTGTATATATATACACATAAAACTAGGAAAATTGATTATCTACTATGAACTGTGAAATTTTCAAAATATTTATTGCTCTTACAATCAAGTGTATTCACGATGTCTGTAGAGTGAATCAAAATATTTCATATATTTCGATTCTCTACAAACATTGTGAAAAAAATTTCATTTTCTTAAATTATTTTTTATAATTATATATATTTCTAATACCTTTACAACATTATCAGATTTGGATAAGGCAGATAAGGAAAGAGTTGATGATAATGATGACTTTTCAGTTAGTTTTGTGGTTAAAGTTGATATAGTGCGTTTGTTTTTACTTGAACAAGAAGAACTGTTTTCATATGTTGACTTTACCACACCAGCTTCATGAAGAAAAATTCTTTCACTTCTTCTAATGGACCATACTGCTTCATCAAAAAATGGAACTTTCTTTCCTGGTTCATCCTTAACATAAAAAAGAAATTTCAATTTCAAACTAAAATCTGAAATTTAAATTTTGTTAATAGCAAATAATAATCAATTTGACAATACTTTTGTAATATTTTGTTTTTCTTTATTTATTTTTACTGTTTCTGTATTGTCTGTTTTGTAACTATTTTCCTCAGAAGATTTTTCAGATGTTGTTGATTCTATCAAGAATAAATTAAATTGAAATTAAAATTGAAGTATGTCATAGTTTTTAAAAATATACATTTTGTGCATAATATATACAACTTAATTTTTTACCTATGACTGTTTCTGCAGTATTTTCTGTTTTAAGTAATTTCAGAACTTCTGCTTCATTTTTATCATCATCTGCAATGATGTAATAATAAATTTTATATTAAGAAAAGAAATAAAGAAACAATTTCAAATAATAATATAATTTTAAAAATTATCTGAATTAGAAAAAAAAATTGCTTTTTATGAAATTAACCAGCACAATAATCAGTCTTAAAGTCAAATAGCAAATTATAAAAATAATCTTAAATTTACATGCTTAAACTAATATTTAATTTTTTTAATAGAGCTTGAATATTTGAAAATTAAAAAAAGGAATATTAAACTGAGCAGCCTATGATTATGGAAGGAAGATTACAAAGAATAATTTTAATTTAAAATAGTATTGATATTGCTCGAAACTGTCAAGGAAAATGAAATGCTTTCATAAGCAACAGAACTAAATAAAACCATAGAATCCATCATCAATGTCAATAATAGAACAAAAGCAGATGATTAGACTCTGTATTTTGTAAACTTTTTGTAAATTCTAAATATTTTTTTATAAAATATATAACAAATATGCTAATAAGTAATGATATTTAGATCTATTAATTATGCAATTATGTACAAGATATACAATAACTGCAATAAAATTTATTTATACATACAATAATAATAATAATGTACATGGTCTTCTCTTTATATTGTTTTGTAAAAATAAATTTAGAAAAATGTTTTAATATATTACTGATTTAATATATATTATTTTAATGTATTACATTTAAACATATTAGGTAGCCAGATAATTCAATTAATGTTAACTCATTTAAAATTAAATTTTAAAAAATTTTATAAAGCAGGCAAATTTATAAAACAAAAATTAATGAAATTACTAAAAAAAAATTAAAATTTTATCATCATTTGTACGAAACACTAAAACAATTTCTATAATTATATTTCAAAAGAAAAAAGTTGTAATTAAGGGTTCAAAAAAAGCAGTCAAAATAAAATAAATAATTATTAAAAAATAATATTCTTTAAATTATCTGATACGTGTAAAACAGTACTTCAACTTACTATTGTCAGCTTTAAAAGATATATTTCAAAATTTAAAAACATTATTCTAATGTAGTAACATACTATATTATATTTTTTCAATAAATGAGAGTACTTTGAATATTTCGAAAAAGTCTGTAGGTGGCCTTGACTTATTTTTTAAAATTTAGCACATTTTTTTACATACACATCCATTGCATAATAGAATGTGTATAAGTATAACTACAAAACATTAAGTACTTCTTTTAGTCTCCAAAATCACTTACAGTCAAGTTCAGAATGTAAGGAGTGAAAAAAAAATAAAAATAATCATAATAATAAATAAATAAATAATTTAAAATATATGCTCTCCACTACAAATTAGTAATATCTTGCCCCTGTACATAATACTTTTCCTGTTAGATAGATGACCAGAATGACTATTGCCAACTCCTTTCAGGGGAAAATTTTTAAGCTGAAAAATAACATGACTTTCAGTTTGCAACAGAAGTTCCTATATAGTTAATCAGGGCCTCCTGCCCCTAAGATTCCCACATCTGGTCTCTACTTTCATCTATTCTCAAGATTTACGGAAGGACAGACAACAGATGGATGATAATGGAAATTTATAGGTCTACAATTTTTTCAAATTGCAGCCCAATAATTATAAAAACTAAATTAATACTGTACTAAATAAATTAAACCAAAAATTAATTTTAAAAAAAATTAAAATTAAATTTAAAAAACAAAATAATTAAACTCTGGCCTTTACATTGAAACTGAAACCAAAATAGAAAATATAATCAAAACTAATTAAAAGTAAATCAATTGAAAATTAAAACATTTTTAAAAACCATTTAAAAGTTGTTTTGAAATTTTCAAATTGTAAGTCAATTTTTAAATTTACATTATTTGTGTGTGGCAGTGACTGAACATTTTGCTTTTAATATATATACAGATAAATATTATTAAAAATAATATAAAACTAAACCTATATATCTGTATTTTGTATATAAGCAAAGGTTATTATTCAAAAACCAAACTTAAAGAATAGTTGCTACAGGAACAAATGAATAGCCATCTCTTAACTCCACGTCTGAGTCAAAAGTGAAGTTTTTTCGTGTCTCCTATCCCTATGCAAAGGCTTCTCTCTCCCTTTGTTAATTAATTCTTTCCATGAATTCATGCCCAGTCCACAGAGGAAGTTAATGAGTGGTCCTTTTGAGGAACGAATTGTAGACCACACAAGTGACTCCATGTGATATACTTACACGCTGCTTTTTTATAAAGTGTTGGTTTCAGTTTCAATGGGAACAGAACATTTTGGTTTTAACATATACAGTAATACCCCAAACTTACACGATAGGTGGGACCGAGCAATAACTGCATAAGTCGAATTTGCGTAAGTCGGGGTATAATTTCGCAATTTGTGTAAAATCCAAATTGGATGTATGTAAGCTAATAAATGTTCTCGTTAATCTTATCTCATCTTTTGATTTGTTCACGGTTACAAGAAATCGCCACATAGAGTCTCTCAAGTCTCTGTAGATATAATAAACACAGAAATAAATAACACAAAATAAATTGTAGCTATGTGTCGATTCCGCGCGACATGTCCGAATATGTAAGCTGAACAATAGTGTGGGGGGAATGAGTAATCAAGAGATGCGTGGCGCTCAAACAAAAGAGGAATCGACAAGATTTGAAAATCGCGTAACTCCGGGTTCACGTAAGTTGGGGTAGCATAAGTTGAGGTATTACTGTATACAGATTAATGTATATTTAAAAATGATCTTTTTAATGTTTTTATGAAGTTTGCAGCATATATTTGTATATTTTTCCTGTCATTTTCAATTTTAATAATAATAAATACGTACTTAATTTTTTCATAAAATAAAATAACAACAATAGCTAACTTTCAATTGTTTCCAAAAATAAAAAAAAATTATTCAACATATAATGTTAATACATTATATGTTGAATAATTTTTTTATTTTTGGAAACAATTGAAAGTTAGCTATTAGTGAAAGTATTAGTTAGGAAATGGCATATAAATCAAATGATGTAAATTTTTAATATAACTTGCTTATAATTTATTCTCATTCATTAAATAGAAACATGACTTGCAAGATTTGATGTGAAATCAAACCTTGTGAATACATATTGTATCAAGTCCTATTAATGTAATTTTATATTCAATTTGCCAAGTACAATATATTGGTGGTGATGATCTTAGTAATATCTAGTTCATAATGAGATGTTTTAATTAAAGTGAATATATAATTGATAAATTTAATTTAATTATGATATCTGGTATAAGGTTTTAATATTTCATTAAGCATATGCTTAATGAAATGATCAATAAGCACCAGAGCCGTAACTAGGATTTTGGACGCCTATGGCCAAGAATGAAAATGGCACATTTTTAATTTTTATTATTAAAAAAAAATTAAAAATGTGCCATTTTCATTCTTGGCCATAGGCGTCCAAAATCCTAGTTACGGCTCTGATAAGCACAATAGCAACAATAATCATAATGAAAGGATATGTTACAATGTTTTGGCCTAGAATTTTAGAGTACAATGCCACAACCATTAAGATGTTAATTTAAAAGTAATTTTACTTGCTAAAAAACTTTTCCAATAATAACCACTTTATATACAGTATATTAGAAATGCAATGATTATTACAAAAGATAGAATGAGATTGAATTTTTAATAGTTATGATGTCTTACTCTATTATGTAAAAAATAAAACTACATAACAAGAAAAAGAAAGACTAGAGAGATTTTTGCCTGATCAGAAAATGTAGTTTTCCAGAACATGAAAATAAAAATTATTTTATAAATAGCAATCAATAAAAAAATACAAAATATATCACAAAGAAATATATTTACTCTTAGATTTTATAAAAGTCACACACAATTAAAAGTATAAGATATAACATAAATACATTTATCGTAAGTAAAATAATAACTATTCAAATACAAGATTTCTCAACATGATGCGTAAATATAATGTTTTATATTTACCTTTTGCAGACTGACTAACTTGTGGAACTTTCTTTTTATCTAAATTGCTTTTTACCAATGATGTAGTAGTAGTAGTAACAGATGTAATAGCAGTAGTGATAGTAGTAGTTGTAGTAGCAGTAGTATTAGTTTTAATTTTTTCATGAGATAATGGCAAAGATGCTACAGAAGCTAAAATTATGAAATATTATTTAAAACATTTTTTTATAACAATTTAAAAAAAAAATGCTTATGATTTTCTCAACTTACATTGCTTTATGTTTTCAACAGATTCATTAATTGTCTCTGATTTAGAAATGCCTAATAAAAAAATTATTATTATTATTATTATTATAAGAAGAAAATTTATTATTATAATTTTTAAAATAATTTAAGATACTTTTTTTTGACAAAATAATTATTTTGTCAATAAAAAAAAAAATACTAATTTACTGAGACCTTGAAAAAGTCATTGTGAAGTGACTAAATTTAAAAAGATTTTTACTCTATTGCAAATGTTTAAAAATTGTAACTTTCTAGGTTCTGTTATATATAACAGAGGGGAAGTATGGAGATTGGTCAAAAAATGACTCCTCAGATTTTTATACATTTGGACTCAGAAATGCTAAAACATTTGGGTGTTTTTATGTATGTATGGATGTTAGTGTGTATGTGGGGGGGGACAATTTTGTTCATCTCTTTGAAGCTTAATAACTCCTGTGCTTTTTGTCAAAAATTTCTGATATTTTGCAGGGAGGTTTGTGAAATAGGGGGATTGATGCTGTTAAATTTTGGTAGCTAAAGGTCAATGGGGTGAGGAGATAAAGGGGAGTTGTATGTTATATCTCAAGTATGGTTGGACTTAATGATGATTTTCTTTGTTATTAGCATTTACAATTTTTTATAATAACCATTCTTACCCCAAATTAAAATTTATGCCATTTTATAATAATTAAAAATATAAAAAGTTTTAAAAATAAAATATCATAACAGATGGCACTACCAAAATTTTAAATATTGCCAAGAAAGTTAAGCAACATGTTGCTAGATTTTTGTATTTAGTTTCTATCTGATAATCTATAAACTAAGTGCATATATTCTTAGATATTTCCAGTTCTCTACTGTATTATATCCTGAAAATAATACCAGTAATGAAAAAACTTTAGCACTATATTTGGCAATCTTTGTAGTGAGTACAGTCTATAAATTTTTATAATTATTCTGACAATGAAGTATGTTATTTTATGCAATTTTAATCAATCAACATAACATATACAGTGGTGTATAGTGACATTTGATGATAGGGAAGCTATGACAGCCCTGAACAGAATCATTTGGAAATGTTATACGATATTTTGATGTGTAGCATCCACGAGCAAAACTGCGTGAGGTTGGTGCTCTGTAAAGCGCATGTGCAAATGCCTGTAATCTGGCTGCTTTACACAATTCAAATATTTTTGTCGTGGAAGCTGTCTCATATTCAACAATACAGTGCTTCCATTGGGAATATGCATATACAAATTTATATTCGAGTATACAGTAGCAATCTTATCATTGTTTTTCATGTGTATAGAAATTTGTAACGAAATACATAATGTGGTTATAATAAAATATTAATTTAAATTAATTCAAAGTACATTAAAATATAAAAATAATTGCACAATATGTATTTATATTTTAGAAAATACAAGAGGCACTTCCACAGCTTCCATGGACAGCACGCCACTAAACATCTGGCTTATTAGGTCTATGAAAATAACTGTAAATAGATTTTAGAATAAAATACTGAAGCATGTAGCAGTCCATGCACAGTATTTTTAAAAGGATAGGCTTTAAAAAAAAATATTTTTTATAATGTACTTTATTAATTTTTATAATATAGGTCTATAGATAATAAGGATAATAAAGGATAATAAAGAAGACTAGGAAGGAACTGAACAGGTACAAAATAAATACAAGTTAATTTCATTTTTTAATTATTACTAAATGTGGGTTAAATCCCCAAAATCCCTTGTACACAGCCTTGGCATATAATAAGTTTTGTCTAGAACAGAGTATATAGTTTATGATTATTTTCTAATGAATGACTTTTGCAGCTTGATATACTATATTATCTGATGTTAAATTGTATGCACTTATCATTAATAAGCTTGTCCGTTATATGATATTTTCTGTAATTTTTTGTATTTTTAATTTTATTTAAAACTGCAGCATAAATTCTCAAGAAACAAGTCACAGTGCAAAATTTTCATTCAATATGAAAGCACAAAATGCAAATTGCTGAAAATCTTTGTTTTATTTTGTATATCCTTGATTGTAACTTTTATGTATTGCATTGATATATGCTACAGTAAATAACTAATGATATCTCTGAAAGTTGCTTTTGCTGGTGTATGGAATAAGGGAATGTAATATAATTTGTCAATTAAGGAAAATGCCTTCAAGGAGCAGTTATCTATGAAAAACTGGTTCTTATTTAGATATCAGACATGCGAAAAATAAATCCAGAAATTCCATGTTGCCAGTCTGTTGGTCAAGCACCAACCCAGGATAACTACCAATTAGCCACTGTTAGACCCTGAAAATTCAAGATGTATTTGCAGTCTGACAAAAATACATTTATATAATAAGAAATATTGTATTTATTGCATAGATTCCTTTACATCTAAAATAAATATTTCTCTTTCCAATTAACTGGAAGATTTTTAAATAAATAATTTTTGTATTTGGTCATTACTGTTCTTATTTTCATTTGATAAATACCTGAATCTGTCTGTATTTAGTATTTTATTTGAAAAGAATACAAGGTCTGTTCAAAAAGTATCGGACCTTTTTTTTTTCCGCGTAAACCAATGATGCGCGAGAGGCCTCCTTCGGTGGAGTTGTGGAGGGGACAGTCATGCACAGCCCTGAATTTTTTCCCGCCTGCAGGAAGCGTCAATCGTTGGCAATCGGCCTATGAGTGAGGTCATGTAGTGCACTCTCGTCGGATTCCACTAAGCTGGAAAATGACTGAATAACGTGAGCAGCGATATTACATCAAATTTTGCCAAAAACCTTGGCTATACCCGAGTGTAAACCATTCGCAAGATTCAGCAGGCTTTCGGGGACGATCCTCGAAGCCAAAAAAAGCGCGGCAGGTCCGCAGCAATATCAAAGGTCATGTTGACAGTTTTTTCGACTCT